TGGGTACGTGAATTAGTATTACCAGAAGATGAAAAAGCAAGTTATTGTATGAACATTTCTTTTTAAAGATGGAATGAGGTACTTCATATCATTTTCTTTGAATTCCATTTGGAATACTTCTTTTAGATTCTAATGTCGTGGAATCAACTAGGACCAGTAAACGTAACACCCTGTTGATAGTGGGTCCTATAAATCAGGTATAAAAATAAATTCTCTCTTCCATTTCTCTTCTAGACTAGTTTGAAAGCTCCGAGGGGTTGTTTGTTTCAAATATTAAAATTTTAGGATTTGTGATCTCATAGAGAATTTTAAATCTAATACAGTTTTATACATGTTTTGGGATTTCTAATATTTTGTTTGGCTCAATATTATTATAGAAAAATAAATCTTAAAATTTGTAATATCTTATCTGGTTCAAACCCAAATTATAGGATAACAAATTCTAAAAAAGAAAAATAAGTAAATATACTTACCTTGGTGATGTTACCTCTCACAAGTAAATAATATACAAAGGCATAGAAAGAGAGGTAAGATACCCATTTATGGGATTTGTCAAATCCTCTCCAATTGAGGGGTTGTTTGGTTCAAATAGCAGAATTTTAGGATTTGTAATCTCATAGAGAATTTCAAATCCATAGGGTTTTATACATGTTTTGGAATTTTTAATATTTTGTTTGGCTCAACATTGTTATAGGGGAAGAAATCCTACAATTTGTAATAGCTTGTTTGATTCAAACCCAAATTATAGGGTAACAAATTCTAAAAAAGAAGAAGAGGTGAATATAATCACCTTGGTGAGGTTAACTCCCACAAGAAAATAAAATAGAAAGACATAGAACAAGGGATAAGCATACCCGTTTATGGGATTTGCTAAATCCTCTCCAATTGAGAGGATTTGGTAAATTCTAAAAATTGGGTGCTTTTTGTACTTTTGGAATTCAACATTCTAAAAAAATTATTAAAACAAACATCAACTATGGAACTCCAAAACCTAAAAAACACACTTTTTGATCCCAAATTTCGTAATCCACACCAAATGCTAAAATTTTACTTGAACCAAACTGCCCTTGAGGATTTGACAAATTCTAAAAATTAGTGCTATTTACATTTTTGGGATTTAATATTCCAAAAAAATATATATTGAAACAAACTCTAAATCTAGAATCCCAAAACCCAAAAAAAACACACTTTTTATCCCAAAATTTAAAATCCACACCAAATGCTAAAAACTTTCTTGAACTAAACAGCGCCTAAATCCTAGCTTTTCTGGCTTGATACTGTCCATAACTTTTTCATACTTGCAAGGTATATGATTTTCAGCAGCAAAGTTTATAGAATTGATAAAAAGCAAATCGTAAGAAAACATTGTTAATGCCTTTAAGGTTCCGTTTGGATACCATGGTGTTTTACTTGTTTCTATGGTGTTTTTGCCAAAAATAAAACAATATGCGTTTAGAAACCATGATGTTTATTGAGCTAATTCATCCTCGAACTAAAAAAAAACTTTTTTCAAAACACCTTTTAGGTGTTTTAAGTTTGGTGTTTTGGTTTTGAGTTTGAGAATCTGTTAATATAATATCTAACATAATATATTAAATGTAATTATTATAGAGTTATTATCAATATGCTTATTATATTATACTATATTATAGTTAATTTAATATATTAGTAATATTTATTAAATAATATAAAAAGATAATAAATAAAACATCTTATATAATAATATAATAACATATTAAATACCAATATTTAATATGTTAATAATGTATTATATAATAATAAATAATAATAAAATATAAATATACTAATAAAAATAATAAAAAAATTATTGATAATAAATAATAATATAATAATATACTATATAATAGTATAATCGCTATAATATTATTAACTTTTATAATAAATAAATTGTAATAAATTTAGTAATTATAAAATATTATAAAGAACATATTTAATAACATAACATATAATAATTAAATATAATAACATATTGTATAGTAAATGTTTTTTTTTCTAATATAATATATAAAATATTATAGTATTAGGTAAATAAATATTATAATTTATTAAAATTAAAATAATTTTTAATAATTAAAATAATAATTTATTGCTAACCAAATGCTTAATGCTAAAAATACATATATCAAATTATTAAATTGATTTATATCACATAAATAACTAATATATTATTAAAATACTATAATAAACTCTAACATGATTAAAAATGATAATTAATATTAATAATATTATATTATATGAATAATAGTATAATATTATATTATATTAATAATAGTATAATATTATATTAATAATAAAATAACATTATTATAAAAATATTAATATAATATGCAACAATAACAAATTGATCTACCAAAATAATTAAATATATAATTATTTGAAAATAATATGTAATAATTATAATATAATATAACTCATTAAAGTACAATATAATATTATAATACATTATACAATATTATATTGTATTACATTAATACTTATAATACTATAATAATGTAAACTTAATATTATAATATTTTATTTATAATATATTTTATTATAATTAATATATAATATATTAATAATATATTTAATACTAATGTTATAATGGGTCAAACTAGTGTTAATCAAAAATACTTAACATGGTGTTTTGACAATATTTTAAGGGGAAAACACAACACCATGGTGTTTTTTTTACAAAAACACAACAAGAAAAACACCATGTTATCCAAACGAAGCCAAGTATGTGGTGGGTGTGTTCCTTTAACACCCTTGATTGGTGTGACACATGTTCGAATCTTCAGTTATGACATATATATGTTGATTATGATAAGTGAGTGGAGCCACATTCACCTTAGTGTTGGGTAAATTTCCCATGTACACAAATTTTCTCTTTGCAATATACCCTGCATATGTAATAAATTTCTATTGAGGTCTAGCTTCATATTTGTCGCCACTTTATATTTTAGTTACATGACTAGCTTAGTTAATATTCTCAAAATTTCTAAACCTAATTCTTCTGGCTCAGAAGTTACCAAGTTTTGGAACTTATTATGTCTGAGATCAACATGTAAATCATAGATATAAAAATTTTTAATAAAACATTATTCATAGAAGATGGTTAATATCTTTTGCTGTTTCTTTCTTTGTTTTTTCAGCATCCTTCCGTGAAAACAGTCCATAAATTTTCATTATTATATCATTTAGTTTTTAAAAGATATTGGATAAATTAATACCTTTTCCCCCTTCACGTTCTCTCAGGAGAATACCACCTTGATCTTATTGTACGCTATGGCGCCGTCCCAGTGATTGTCCCCCGTGTTTCTGGCATCCACACCCTACTCGAGAGCTTCGAGCCAATCCACGGCGTCCTCCTCTGTGAAGGCGAGGATGTGGACCCCTCCCTCTATGATGTCTCTGGCTCCGAATTGTCTCCTGATGAACTTGAACACGTCCGAAGCTTGCACACCAGTGATACTGTGATCGATCACGAAAAGGACTCCATTGAGTTGAGACTCACAAGGCTCTGCCTTGAACGAACAGTTCCATTTTTAGGTAGTAAGTATAGTTATTTTCTTTTATAACATATTTTATTAAAGTTATTTTTATTGTCACGGTTTTTTTTTCCATTGAATACAAATATTATCAGAACCAACCAACTTGAACGAGTGAAGTTGTTTGAATTTTGATATTTTCAAACCAGACCTCTATCCTTCCATGAATGGCAACCATCATCCTTTTAAGGTAGCATCATTATTTCGTACAACATCATTCTTTCGTACAATTTTTCTTTGTTATAATTTTCCTTCTTTAGGAGAGTTATTCTTCGCAGGACTTTATATATATATAGATTATAATGTGTATATATCACTCTTTTCGCAATTCTTTTGTTCGATCAAAATAAGAAGAGCAATCTTTCCCCCTTTTTGCCAATAGGCATTTGTCGCGGCTCACAAGTCTTGAACGTCGCCAGTGGTGGTACACTGTATCAAGATGTAGAAAAGGAACTTGCAGGCAAAAGAAACAATGACATCAATACAATCAAACATATTGACTACAACAACTATGATGGGCATAGGCACAAAGTCAGTATCATCAAGAACACTCCACTACACCACTGGTTCAGTAAGTCATTAGAGGGCGAAGGCGAAAATATGGAGATCATGGTGAATAGTTATCACCATCAGGGGGTGAAGCGACTAGGGCCACGTTTCGTCCCTATGGCATTTGCGCCTGATGGACTCGTCGAAGGGTTCTATGATCCTGATGTTTATAACCCTGATGAGGGTAAGTTCATCGTAGGGTTGCAGTTTCATCCGGAGAGAATGAGGATGCCTGAAAACGATGAGTTTGATTATCCTGGGTGCCCGTTGGCGTATCAGGTATATAAAAAACTAATTGTATTTGTATCCTTACATCTCTAAACAAACATTTAACAATTAATTATCTCCTGCTTAGGAGTTTGTGAAGGCAGTAATATCCTACTGGAAGAAAACTAGTACATGCACAAACCCACGAAGCACTACTCCAAAGTTGGATCAAGAAATGGAAAAGAGAAGGAAAATTATAATCCAAAGCTTTTGCGTTGCAAAGGACATCTACACAGCCAAGTTCGATGTGCCATCATCGAAAGGATCAGAACATGAGGCAGGAGCAGAATTTGTGAAGGTAAATAACAAATTTCTAAACTTTGTATATCTCGAGGGCCAGTGATAGAAAAATGTCTTTGTTTTTTGTCTCCTCAGTCAAGGACTGCATTGAGTTTGCAACAGGAGAAGAGGCTAAAGCAGATGGGGGCAACAGTGAGAAATGCCTCGAGCTACATGGAGGGAGTGAGGAAGAACGAGGCGAGGGGAATTGCTGCGCAAAATGTCATGGAGAGGATGTCGATAGAGCAGTTGTCTGAACTATTGTCTTTCTATCATAAGATGGGGAAAATTTGTTCAGATGTGTTAAAGAGGAAAATTTCAGATTCTCTTGATACTATGATAGAGCAGCAGCAGCAGTAGTATGTGCTGTTTTTGCCCCCCTTTCCTTGTGTTGTTAGTGTTTCTTGATTATTTTTTGAATTAAAAATATATGCAAGCAGCAGCAGTATTAGTGGTATGTGTTGTTTTTCCTACCTTGTGTTGTAAGTGATTCTTGATTTAAAAATATATGTAAGCAGTATATTGCATCTTTCATAGTTACTCTGTCGGCTTGATTATGTGTCGATTGTGAACTGAGGCATAAGCATTCAGGGTGGCTTGACAGAATATGAATTTAACCAGTAACGTAGACAGTGGCTGGTTGAAGAGGAGATATTGAATGGAACTCTCAATTGCTACTCAAAAAGAATAAGAAATTTTAGGGAATCACAACTATTTTCTCATAATGCAAGGACATGAATCTACAGTAGATTCCGGCATCACAGAATGGGTTGTACAAGAACACTGTAATGTAGAAAATTGGCTTGATGAGAAGAGAAGATATTGAGAAGGATTTGCAACAATTTCTCAAGTTGAAATACCATGAGGATTTAACACAGTAGTTTCCGATATGGCAGAATATGCATCGAGTAACCATACTGTAATATAGACAACCAACTGATTGGAAGAGGGGATATTAACAGGTACTACTTAAAAGAATAGGAATAAAAAATGTGAAGGATCACAACTATTTCTAAGGATAAAATGCCATAAGAATGTGAAGTAGCAGTTTCCAGTACAGTATTTCTATCAATACTGTACATTGATGACTCAGAACAACTTTTACTCACAGCCTCAGTAGGTTGGATATCGGTTGCCATCCAAGAAGCCATGATCTCTTATTTGCTGGCAAAGAAAAATTTAGCTCGAACATCTCCTTGGTGACATTACCACCTTCACAAAATCCCACCAACCGAGCCACTATATCGGCACTCTCCTCAATATGAGCTTTATTCTCGGTGTCAGTCCAGAGCTTGTTTACCAATTGAAGCTTCCTCTGCTTTCCATCGAGGGGGACTTGCCACTTTCTGTACAAACGCTCTCTCTCTTCTTCAGTTAAGCGTGAGTTAACCCTTTTGGAAAGGAATTCCCTCTCCTGCCTCAGTGCTCTGATACTGTATTAAGAAGGAAGAGGGAAGGTAAACAAACAAGGGTCAAGCAGTTGAAAGTGGACACGCTTACTAACATAATAGATTAGCATGCATAAAGGTTGCCAGATCGATCTCGGTTTCGAAAAAACTGGAGTATTTGGAGTGGTGAAGCAATGGAAAATGAACACAATTATTAGCATAGATTAGCATGCAAAAAGGCTGAATGCTCGATTTAGATTTAAAAAAACTGAATTATCTGGAATGCACACTGAAGTAAAATAGCACATGAAGTATTTGGAATGGTGAAGCAATGGAAAGTAGACACACTTATAAGCATAGATTAGCATGCATAAAGGCTGACAGATCGATATAGATTTTTTAAAAAAATCTGAATTATTTGGAATGCACACACATTGAAATAAAATAGTACATGAAAGAAATGCACATGACAATGAATAGAACAAGAAAGCTATTCTTCAAATGGTCGCATTGTCTTCCACAAATTGCACCGACTGTCTGCTACTACCACCAAGAGCGATCTTCCAGTTACTCTGTTTTTCGCTCCATAACTAAGCCCTTCTGATAATTCACTTTGCTTTTGTATTATAGATTGAGGAAATGCTTTTGAACTGTTTGGTTGGGAAACTTGTCAAATCTTTTTCATTAATAGAGATTAAGGTATATACTATCTAAGGTAGAAGTTTTCCACCATAGGAAGTAGGGGAAATTATCCATATTTGTAAACGTTTCCAGTCGTATTTGTTAAAAGTCTTCTTCACAAGTGGATGAGTAAGAAGAAGGCACCAGCTTTACATTAATATGCATTTGCACTACGCAAGTTTTCTATATATGAGTTCATAGATTTTGCATGATTTCTTGGGTCACCTTTTAACTAATTATTTTAGCCTGAGAACATGTATAAAATTGTCACCTTTTAACTAATTATTTAGCGTTGCTTCATATGTTTTTTTGACTAGCTGTAATCCCCACTAAAATAGCTTAAATTGTAGTCATGCTGTAGTAATTATCTGAAAATTAGAAACTTATTTTGAGGAATCCATTAAAATATGAAACGAATATGTCTGTTTCTATCATTCTATGTATGTTCTTGACTTTATTTCAGCAGTAAGATACGTTTGAAAAAATCCCTCGTCATCTGATAAATTTCTAAGGATTTAGGTTAGGGTGCATGACTTTCGGGTCAACTTTAGATAGTAGATTGCTTGTGATAGTCGCTAACTCCTTAGTTGTTCATTGTTCAGAAACTATTCAATAAGCTAGTAGAATTATACTAAAGTATTGTAGAGTAATAGTGTAATCATACCTTGATGAGAGAGAAACAATGGTATCCTCTCCAGTATGAGCAGGGCTTGCATCTCCAACCTCTGAGAGGTGCTGTTGTAGCCAAGCCAACCTTCTAAGCTCCACCTCAATATATATCTGATCAGCTGGATCACCGCGGAATAGCAAGTAGAATTGAGTTCTATGTATTATTGATACATGGCAAATATCCCATAACTCAATGATCTTCTTCATCTGCTCATTAAAGATATTCCTCCATGTATCAGGGGACTTCTGCTGTTCAGAAGTATTCTCATCATCCTCTGATGCCTCATTCCCTGCGGCTTCATTTGCTTCCAATTCCAACACCTAAAAAGATGCAAAGAACGAGAAGGTTAACAACTTGTGACTGTATACGTAGAAAGTTCATAAAATATACATTAGAGGAAAGTATGAAATATATAAAAATCATTGCACAAATTAGCAATTTTTTACTGAATACTAGAAAAAGTTTCAGCAGTAAGCTGAGAACACATATTTCTGAAGTTTCTTAAACTTATTGTGTAGTGCACATGAAAAAGAACGTGTCTGAACCACTACAGTAAAACAAGCAAACATCATTTTCCCTAAAAAAATAATGATGTGGTAATACTCTAAATTTCCCGGGAGCAATGAGAAAAACAGTGTAGCAAATGTTGACAATCGGCAATATTTTTACGAACTATCCAACTTGAGAAAGCCACAGGAACTAAATAAGAAAAATAGTTATATCACAAAATCATACAAAGGAATCTAAGAAGAACTGCAGCACCCTAAGAAGTGAAGAGAAGATTAAGGATATACTTTTCAATACCTGGCATACTAGGAGCTGCTTCTGGTATTGAAGTTTGGCAACCCGTTCCTTGAGCTCAGTAACATATGCTTTTATACTTCTAACATTCTCCTCTGCTGCATTTTGGAACATCTTTTGCATCTTCCTCATGTTCACAGAGCTTGAACGCTGGTGGCAGGGTGTGCTTTCTCTTGATGAGATATCCCCAGCATCCTCCTTCTTTGTTGGAGTTGCTTTCTCGGAACACAACACAGCCTCATGGGATATGTTATCCTCAGGGGCCCTGTTCTCCACCTCAGATTCTAACACCTTTCGAGAAGATGAGAGAGGAGAACAAGGGGATCTTATAAGATTTGGCCGGTTTATGTTGGTGCTTAAATTCAACGGAAGCATCTTCTTCTTCTTGGATTGGTTCTTGGGGGATGACTTGGGAGCAGTCTCTTCTGACTGGAAATTACTAGGAAGGGACATCACTAGCTTGTCTATCGACTTCTGGACATTTTCCAACTGTTGCTCAAGATTAGCAATAGTGCTTCCTTGAGAATGGAGTCTTGTGATTTCTTCCTTAAGATTCGCACCAGGGTTCCGGCCACAATTCACATTTCCTACATCAACCTCCTTGGTTAGAGATCTCACTGTACGCATTTCTTTAATTTCAGCTTGAAGTTTAGCAATTGTTTCAGCAGCATCTTGGTTTCCTAGCCGGTGGCAGGCCACCTCCTTTTGTAAGACTTCTAATGCTCGGTTTGCTTCTTCCCCAAGCTGCTCTTGTAAATGTTCAAGTTTACGAATCTCATGCATAAGCATGGTCGGTGCAGTGGATGACTGCCTCATTGGGTTTTTTGCTCGGTCTATAGCCCGAACAGATGGACCACAAAATGTGAGACATTTTGCCACTCGATGAGGTGACAATTCTGATGGATTTAACACCTAAAAAGGAATATATATATCAAATACGATAGTTAGCAAATTTCTGAAAAAATAGTGAGCAAAGTTCTTACAGTCTGATCATCATTTACTTTCTTCTGCAGATTATCCAATTGTGATTTTGCAAGATCTCTCTCCCGCTTTAGTTCTTCCATTTCCATTTCCATCTGGTTTATCAACAAATAAACAATTACAAGTTGAAGCAGGATAACATTCACGTAGACTTGGCAACAAATAGATATAAATTGGCGACAGATGCGTATAACAAAATTTAGCAGATGGAATTGTCCTAGTCCTATGGTATCACATATTACTTATAAAATATATATGAACATCAGATTGATTCTCTTCCAATATGGACAATTTCCCTATTTGACTTTCGTTTTTGACCAATCTTTCATTATTTTTATGATTACTACATTTTTCTACAGGTGATTGCAATTAAATTAACTAATCCAAACACAGTTCTCATTGGAATTAATCCAAACACTTGCACAGAATTCTTGTTTATTCCTTATGTTTACTACCTTATTTTCACTTATTTCTATCTTGAATTAATTCTTTAATTCTTGTTTATTCCTAGTTGGTCCCGTCAACTTTTGTGGCCATGAAGATGCCCGTATCCACACCCTGATTCCAAAGTTCAAATCTTCTCTTTTAAGTTTTACCTTTTTAATTTTCAACTCTTTCTCCATTAAAAGAGTCTCTGAACACAAAGATGATGATGGTTCTGGTGTACGCAACTCTGCTTCAAGTCTCGCAACTTCTTTTTGCAGGTGCTTAACTAATTGTTTGTCTGATACAACCTGATGAATTAAAACTCATGAGCTGCATAACATTGTCCCAAAAAGGAGAAAAGAAAGTGATAAAACAATAAACGGGAGACAGAAAGACGAATGCTTCTTAGTGTTTTACATACCATATTAACCTGTGCAGAGTTGGTGACTTCCTTTGCACAAGTAGCAAAGAAGAGTGTGTTGCGGGATTGTTCTACATGGCTGAGTGCGGGACTCATGGTACAAATAACTGCAGTCCTTGCATTTCCTCCAAGAGAGAATTGTAATATCCGTGTTAACTTTGAATCCCTGTACGGTACGTGCCCACTTCTTTTTCCAACACTATAACAATTTAGAAAGTAAATCATCAGAAACCAAGTGCCATTAAACTTGTGTAATCTACTATCATAGTACAATTAATTAAATTAATATTAACAAAGAAATATACAACTTCTTTTGAAGGAGATAATTACTTAAAAGAAGATGAGTTAAAAAGTTGACAATATAATGTGTATCCTAATCTGAAAAAGACATTGAGGCAAGTTAACAAGGAAGGAACTTCCTCCTCAGTACATAGGAAGGAATTTCCCCGCCTGTATAGTGAAGGGAGCTATGGACCCACTTTATTTTCACAAGGGGGAAAAAGACTGTGTATCCCACTATCAGGTACAATAAAGTAAACTACTATTTTGTGTATACCACTCTTCATCTCATGTCAAATTCGCATGTTGCAAGGGACAACAATTTAGCATGATCTTATCATGCCAACCAATTGACTATCTTGTTATAAAAAAAAATATCAGAAAAAACTAGGGCCATATTCATCGTCATTATGTTTTGATAACCATGTTCATTGTTAGCTTTTCCCCTCAATTTTCTCATTATTAAGTATATGCGTTCTATTTCTCATAAGCATCCTTGATATTCTTGCTCTGCTTTGCTAGTTATCCTTTGTAGTTGTTAGTAAATTGCTTATGCTCTAACATATTCATATGTATCCGTGACTTTTTGAAAGATTCTATTATAATATAATCATATATATTGGTGAAGCCTGGTGCCTATTCTACTTAATAAAGATTTTTTTTTGTTAAAAGATTTGTTTTCCAGAATAAATTTATATGGAATTATGTTTTGCCACCATGTTCAAGTTGTGTGCTATCTTCCAGAGTCATCATTTGTTAGTAGACCTACCTAACTGTTCCAGGTTTTGTTCATTGACTCATTAGAGAGCCATTTGTTTTATGTTTCACAGTCATCACAACACTTAAAGGAATCAAGAAAGTGACCATATGTATAATTTGGCAGTGATAGCTTTACTCCAATATAATCATTTATGCAAAACCCAACTAAAATAAATAATACATGATAAAATTGGTCCAAGCTTTATATCAAGGCCAAACATGATTTTCTTTAGTTGTCTGACTTCTGGAACTTGAACCTTTTCTTTTGCCACCATGTTCAAGTTGTGTGCTATCTTCCAGAGTCATCATTTGTTAGTAGACCTACGTAACTGTTCCAGGTTATATTCATTGACACAATAGAGAGCCATTTGTTTTATGTTTCACAGTCATCACTACACTTCAAGTAATCAAGAAAGTGACCATATGTATAATTTGGCAGAGATAGTCTTTACTCCAATATAATCATTTATGCAAAACCCAACTAAAATAAATAATACATGATAAAATTGGTCCAAGCTTTATATCAAGGCCAAACATGATTTTCTTTAGTTGTCTGACTTCTGGAACTTGAACCTTTTGTTACTTTTGAGTTTCCTCTTGTTTGATCATTCATTGGACTCTTTGAGTCATTTTCATGGCCATAAAAGTTGACGGGACCAACTAGGAATAAATATGAAAGAGCTAGTACCCAAAGTAGATAGCTAATAAGAAGAGAGTTTAATGAAGTAAATGTATGTTTCTCTTGATCTGCCATCCTAGCTCCTACAAAAGCACCATTTTTCCCAGAACATAAGATGCTTCTCAGTATCAGTAATTATTACTTTTTACAGCCAAAAAGCTACAACTTATCTTATTAATTTTAAATGATAGATTTTAAAGCATCCAACATTTCTGATGAACCAGAGTGTTAAAACCTTCACAACATAGGGCGTATTGGTGAAATATGAACAATTATGCAAAGCCCTGACCTTAGCTTTCTAATAACAGTAGTAAGAGTCAACAAACTGCGATTTATATGGCAGCCTTCTTTCAGTCTGGCACCATCTGCATGAGTTTGGGAGGCCCTCTCACTCCCTGCAAGGTCCACCAAGTTCTGCAGAATATTGAAAAGTCATCACTGATATATCAAAGTATAACATCATTAGGCCTTAAGATACTTACAAGGTTAGCTACGAAAGACTTCACGCAGCCGGATTTCTCACGTAGGCAACTCTCAACTGTCTGGATTGAAATTTTATGGTATAACAGTGAATAAAATTTTCTGTTTAAGATCAAACACTCATGTAACGGAGATCACTAGTCATACCAGTCTAATTATCTGGTGTGATCTGGAGCTGGTATCGTTCAAAGCAGTTTCACCAACCTGCCTTTTTGCTGTAAATCACAAGTCACTAATTTAAGACAGATCCCTTGTTATGAATTATAGTATCAAAAGTAACAGCAACCTATATGGTTTCTCAGAAATGTTCTTAATAGTTATAACGATCGACCTTCACAGATGGCAATCAGATGCCTCAAATGCTGATCATCTTTTGCTGTTTCTTCTTCCAGTTTCTCAACAATGGTTCCTTTCTGCAGAATGACGACTTAAGAAAAAATCTAACAAAGAAATATCGTGAATGATATGTGAAAGAGAGTGCTATTTCATGATTAAATCTTCCAAAGGGAACTATACCTCAGGGTCATCTAATAGCCGAAGAGGACCAGAATCTGGTTTTAACAAGTCATGTACTACCTCATTGTAAATTTCCATTGCAGAGATCTTGATAATAAAATCCCTATCTGGAGTCTGCAGATGAAAGAATAGAAGATGGAGATCAATTTCAGACATATGGAAAATGTTCCAGAAAATCAACTTATCAGATTTAACATAAGATCTAATTTGAAAGCTATCTACAGGAAAAATAAGAAAATCAAGCTTACATTCTCGATGTGCTTGTATATATCATTTACAGCATTCTCAGTTATCCCTCTCATAGTGTATGTTTTCCCACTGCTTGTCTGACCGTAAGCAAAAATAGTAGCTACATGAAGTATATCAGAAGAACCATTACTAAAAACAGTTCCATACTAACTCAAAATCAACAGAAACAGGATAAACCTGATGTTTAATTTACCATTAATTCCCATCAGTGCTGACAATGCTACATCCTTGGCTCCCTCTTTGTAGATTGTCTCAGTTAAACAAGATGGACCAAATACTCTGTCTGACTAGCAAACAAAAGAAATAGATGGAAACCATAAATATATATCTTCTCAAATTCCACCAAGATATATAATGACACGGCATTAAGTAAAAATCTGCAATTAGAAACAACTAAAGAGAGATATCACATAATACCGAAGGTATACGAGGCTGTTGAACTTGCACGATCTTGAGAGGAAGTCTTGAATACAATTGTAAGGTCATTAACAGGTTCCCATGCTACTTGATCTTTTGCTGCTTGTTCTTTCTTGCTTAAAGGCCTCAAACGGACTGTAACAAAAATCTTCTCCTCTTTAGCTCTGGAACCCCCAGGGGTAGACATTGGTATTCTTTCTAACAGCTTTGAAGCTGGAGTGCAAGGTGCTGATGTTGGCAGTTTTTCTAGCTTTGAAGCCGGAGTACTAGCTGCTGATGTTGGCTGTTTTTCTACCTTTGAAGATGGAGTACAAGGTGCAGATGTAGGTACTTTTCCTAACCTTGAAGCCGGGGTACTAGGTACCCTAGTTGTTGCCATCTCAGTTATGCGGGGTAACAATTGAGTCTGGCAGTTTACTATTTACAGATGTCCAGAGGAAGAATCACAACTTCTCCTGATATGTTGCATAAATCAACACCCTTAATAATGGGAAAAAAATAATGGATAGAGGCTTTCCAACGAGAAACCTGACAAGAAATAAGAAACAGCATACTAAGATCTTGATAGTTGGACAAATAGGGCGCATTTAAAAATTGAAGTAACTGCAGCTAAATCTTCCTTCCGAAGGTTCAGGTAGGATATCTGAAAGGTTTGATGCAATTGGATAACAAGAAACTACCGTGAATAGGCCCGATATCAGTCTTCTCCAGCAAACTAGCTCTTAAAGAAATTGAACTAGACTTCTTACATTATTACTGTCAGGCGCCCAACCTTTTTGACCCAGCCAACATGAAAACAAAAGTGGGGCCCACAAAGGCGGGCCCCACAAGAAGAAAAATCAAATTCGGTGGCAGCCATTGTTGAGAATTTATAAAGGATGTGGGTCCCACAAATATTTTATTATTAGTGGCGGGTCCCACTGATAATATTTTATTTGTGCATAGTGTTTCCCAAACACTATAAATAGAGCCTTAAACTCTTAAGGAAATCTCATCCCAGAAACAACTCCTCTTATAGAAGAGTAAGAGAAAACAAAGAGAGAGTTTGTGAGAGTTCTTGGAGTGTATCTGATCAAGAGAGGGTGTTCTCTTGGATCAATTCTTTTGGGATATTAAAGAATTTGGCGTCGTCGTTGCACCGTGGAGTAGCTCCGAAGGAGTGAACCACGTATATCTGTGAGTACTCTGTGTTGAATTTTGTGCCTTTATTTTGTGATTAAGTCTCCGTTCGAGGCGTTATTATTGGGGTGAATCCTAACAACTGGTATCAGAGCCTGACTTAGAGTATATATATCTGCTTATCGTATGCTCTGGCTGCCACTAAAAGTGGATCCTCCACATCAGAAAATAAGTTAGATTAATATTTACTCTTTTAAGGCATTGGGCACTATTCACGTGTACGGTACTATTCACGTGTACGGCACTATTCACGAATACGGTACTATTCAAGAATACGGTACTATTTACGAATACGGTACTATTCACGAATACGGTACTATTCACGAATACAGTACTATTCACAAATACGGGAAAGACGTAATCTTTCGCCATGGGATCTACAGTTGAAGACAACAGGCTTCGAATTGAGAAGTTCGGTGGCCAAAATTTCAGGTATTGGAGGATGCAAATAGAAGACTATTTGTACCAAAAGGATCTCTTCCTACCCCTCCAAGGAGAGGCGGGGAAACCTGAGAATATGGACGACGATAAGTGGAAGGTGCTCGATCGTAAAGCACTTGCCACCATCAGGCTCAACCTTCACCAGCATGTGACTTACAACGTCTCGCATGCGACCACCACCAAGGAGTTGATGGAGGCCTTGGAGGCGCTGTATGAGAAGCCGTCTGCTTCAAATAAGGTGTACCTGATGAAGAAGCTATTCAATCTCAAGATGCAGCAAGGAGCTCGCGTGGTGCAGTAGATCTCAAGTTCGACAATGAGATCCAAGCTCTTCTGCTACTTTCTTGTCTACCAGATTCATGGGAGAATATGGTGATGGCGGTGAGCAACGCCAATGGCAATGACAAGATGAAGCTCGACATGGTGATTGGGGCAATTCTGGACTTTGTATCCCTGATGCATACAGGTGAATACGGGCAAGGATTCAAACACAGGCCATCAGTGGTCTCACGCCCCAAAGCCAAAGGCACCTGACCACCTGTGTCCACCCTTCGGTGGTGCAAAGTTAATGTTAAAATAGTTAATTAAATGAAATTTGCTTATTGATTATTGTTTTGGAGTTGTAACTTACATCTCTTAGTTTTGTGATTGGTGTTTTTCAACTTCTTCCAGGTTATAAGTTGGCTTGTAGTTGGTAATATTATTGTGTCGAGTGTTAGAACAACGTACTACAGCATTACCACATATCGGTCACCATTTCCTCTGTTGAGAGCTGCGGAAGCCAAACAACCAAATCAACGTGCTACGAGAAATCAAATCAAACGAACGTCGAGAGAAGGCCAAACGAACCAAATCAATACCACAAACATAAACAACCAATTTTAACGTGGTTTGACAAGTTGACTACGTCCACGGGGCAAGAAGGGGATAGGGTTTTTCACTAATAGAGAAGAAGAGTACAAACTGAGATTACAAATCACTCAAACTCACCAATTAATCTCACCAATAAATCTTCAATTCTCTCCAAACAAAACTCTAACCAATAGCTTAGAAAATACATCTTTTCTGTGCTGCAAATATCCTCAATTTTTTTCTTAATTCTCTCTTCCAATTGTTCCATATATATAGAAATCATAAAATCATAAACATACTAGGAATTCTAAAACAAAAAACAAAACAGATTTGGAATCCTAATAATCTGTTACCAAAACAGATTAGGAATTTCAATAACCTGTTAACAAAACAAATTAGGAAACATATTAGGAACCTGCTATCCAACACTTTAATGGGAAACAACACGCTAATTATAATCATTCCAACAGAGCAAATGGATCCCAAGTGAAGCTGTTGATATCACAAGCGCCACCAGAGATGCGAACACCATCGTTGTCACAATCTTCAGACCACTGAAAGCAGAATCACATAACTAGTGTTAGTATATATCCAGAACTGAACACGTATATATATATCACTTTCTCTAGCAAAGTAACAGTTTTACCAAATCTTAAATCGGTTCTCTGGAGCACCAGTAGAGTAGCCTTTGAAGTAGAAGAAGCGCCCCATGATGTAATCTAGGCCAAATCCAGCACACATCGTAGGATACTGAAGCCCACCTACGAGCAGAAGTGCGAAGAAAATTGGCATCATCTCCTGAGAATTCTGGTGCCCTCGCTGCCTCAAAGTAGTACAGATGAGCAATTTGAAAGCATGTGGAAGATTAAACAGAACGAGTTAGCAAACCTGGACACAGTTAAAGAGCTTGGCATCCTTGTTCTCAGACTCTATAGCGTGTACAGTCGGATGAAACACCTTATACCTGAGATTAGTTCACATAAAGTTTAGATTTCTAGCGTAAATAAAGATGAAAAAGATTATGAAATATGATTAAGGGAGTACTTCCTCCTTGCTTTGAGAACTTGAGAGCCCATCCAGAAGTCGAAGAAAGCGTAGAATATGAGCACAAATATGACGTAGCCATACTCTTTTGGGACTTCAATCGCTACCATCTTCTCTCTTTTGTATGACAATTCTAGTGTTTACGATGCTGTTTAGATTTGTTCAGCGAGGTTTCCTGGGATTTCTGTATGGGCTTATATAATTACAGAAGACTGATCTTGATGCAGAGTTAGCGTTAAGATAATGAAGTCAACTGTTGAATGATGTATGAATGTTAGAGAGAATTGCCATTTCAACTGAGTTCCTTCCAGCCCAAGGAAATATGACCACTGACTGAGTTCATGAAAAGTACTAATCCTAAAAAAATGGGAGCAGGTAAAGTTCAAACCTCATATTTTAAAGCTATAATATAAAGCTGCACAACTAAGTTGGTCAAATACAGTTTCTAACACAGTAAATAGTTCATTAATCAATTAGGAATTAATCCTCTTATTTCTAAGTCATCACTGTGACTTGTATAAGCGGTTAGGGACTAAGATATTTCTTAAACATAGCTTGATAGTCAAATTAATTCAAAAACTTTACCTATTAGAAATCACACCCAATTTTACTTTTCTATCATTCTTTCAGTTGTGGACTATACTTATACGTGAATTTCTAACATCGCGACTGTAACTTTGAGGAATTTGTGCTGCATGTCTTCTCTAATTTTCCGGCCCTCCTGCACATCTCCATACATATTTTCGTCATTCACACAAAACTATAAATAAATTTATGCCCATTTTCTTAAAATGTGTTTGATTGTTTAAAGCTTTAGAATTAGCTGTATGAAAAAGTATTATTCTGATGAAAGGTCTAAAATTATTTAATTAGCTTTCTCTATCAGCATCATATATATAGTAACGATATATTTAATTTCAAGCTTCCTCTATACTATATATTATCGACTTATTATCGGCTGTTAAGATTTAGGCACGAAACGATGTCAATAAATGTATAGTGGCAGTTATGATAAATGTATAGTGGCATTTTGTCTAAGTTCACCAGATAGAAAGAAGGCAATAATCGGCAACTATGTCTAATCTATGTCCTAAGCATGCATAAAGGAGGACTTGATATTATCAACGACCAAGATAATGAAGCAATTCCTTTCGTGGTACCTAGAAAATTTGTTGTGGATTTCCAACATGCCCCCCATAAACATAAAGGTGCTTAATTGTTGGTTTTTGATGGATAAGTCCTGTCTCTAGATCAACAACAAGATGACAGTCACGCGCTTCGGAATTTTGATGGTCATGTACGATTAATGTTGCATTATGGAAGAGATGGGGGGAGAAAAGAATTAAAGCATCTTACAGGACTCTCAGAACTATGACAACAAATTTGCAGTTTTCTACACTTTCAACATTGTTTTCTTACAAAAATATTTATAATTTCAACAACCATCTGAGCATAATTGAGGAGAACCTGGTCAATCTCTTGAGAAGATCCAACGAAAGATCTTCGGGCACCATCTGTGTTGCATGATTTTCCCCCCTCCGTTGCTAAAATATTCTATTATCTTGTTACTTGCATGTTTCAGTTGTATTTCTTACTCACTTCCATCATTTGCATTATCATCGACAACCATACATAAACAATAAACAAACTTGACGTGTTCATAAAGGATAAACCCCAAATTGACTAGAAAAAACTTTTACTAACCTCAATTGTAGATGGTATGCTAGTTTGAAAGTTTGCGGTACTTTCCACTAATGAAACTAGTGCACGGTATTTTTGTGCCGAACATGTTTATGAAGTTTACCCGTTTCCTTATTTTCATCGCTGAAACTGTATATGATCCTTCTTTGGTGGACATCCCTTGTTTCTTCTCTGTTCTCACGCTTCATTAATACCATCCATGTTTCTGTCGTATTTCTTTCTTGTTCTCCATTATTCTGGCTGATCTCCGCCTGAATTGATGAGCAAAGTGGAACAGCCCTGTCAGGCGCCTAACCTTTTTGACCCAGCGAACATGAAAACAAAAGTGGGGCCCACAAAGGCGGGCCCCACAAGAAGAAAAATCAAATTCGGTGGCAGCCATTGTTGAGAATTTATAAAGGATGTGGGTCCCACAAATATTTTATTATTAGTGGCGGGTCCCACTGATAATATTTTATTTGTGCATAGTGTTTCCCAAACACTATAAATAGGGCCTTAAACTCTTAAGGAAATCTCATCCCAGAAACAACTCCTCTTATAGAAGAGTAAGAGAAAACAAAGAGAGAGTTTGTGAGAGTTCTTGGAGTGTATCTGATCAAGAGAGGGTGTTCTCTTGGATCAATTCTTTTGGGATATTAAAGAATTTGGCGTCGTCGTTGCACCGTGGAGTAGCTCCGAAGGAGTGAACCACGTATATCTGTGAGTACTCTGTGTTGAATTTTGTGCCTTTATTTTGTGATTAAGTCTCCGTTCGAGGCGTTATTATTGGGGTGAATCCTAACAATTACCACTTTTATGGAGGAAAAAAAAGGTAAATACTATCAGTGAAAGCCTTACAGATTTTTTTGCCTTGTTCCTTTTCTGAATAACGTGTTCAGAAATCTCTAAGTTATACAACCTGAAAAGTTAGTTTGTTAAGAAACAGCTACTGACACCATTAAGCAAATGGAACTATGACTGTTACATTCTAAGTTGCATGGGTACGGGTGCAAGTGCAGATACAGGACACGGAAAATTTGTAACAGAAAGAATAGCGACACTGCTATAGATATATACATACATATTGAAGTTAATAATTTATATGAGATTGATATTGTTGTTTCATTCACATGTTATGAGAAAATAAAATTCCTATAGCATTTTCATGTTTCTTTTATTAAGTAGAGTATAAATTGGAAAATTGATCTTTGTTTAACCTGATACCAAATGGCTCTTTAAAATCATAATTATGAACTAGGTATGGGTCCAAACGAACCCAATCCGAGTCCAACGAGTTGCAGAAATTTGAGTTCAAAAGTAAGATATATGTCCAAGAAGTGTATCCCAAGTTTTCTAAACCAAAACATATATTATATTTTGAGTACACATTTGTGTGTGCGTGTATGTATGTCTCTCTCTCTATGTGTGTGTGTGTACACACACACCCTCCCAACACACCCACACCCACACACACATTAAAGAAGTGCCCAATACGGACATGGATATGGGAAGTGTTGAGCACGAACACAGCAGCCAAGATGAGGTGTCCAGGTAACTTAGGTTACATTATTTCTCCTTTCATTTTTAAACAAATAAAAGTAGTAAGCTTTATGGATTTACTTTTCCTCGTTCTTTTTCCAAAACATGTATTCAGGAAATCTTACATTTATAACCTGAGAAATTAGTTTGAGGAGAAACAGCTTCCCACAATATTCGGGAAATCTTACGTTTACAACCTGAGAAAATAGTTTGTGGTGAAACAGCTTCCCCGCTACTATAGAGCCTGAACTAATATTGATGGAAACAAATTTGGGTCCTCTCTCCATAATGAATTAAGAGGCCACTTCTTCAATCAGAATCATTTATCATTAAGTGAACTTTAGTGATTTGTCTTGTGTACAAAAGGGAAAAGGTGCATTTCAAGGGGCACATTGTGGTAGTGATGTTTGGAATGAATCATAACTAACCTGGGCGCGATTTTATGGTTGTGATCTCTAACTTCCTGATCCAAGTTCGGTGGTCCCAAGTGGTAATGCGTACTAATTACTAACGGCTAAAGGACAACATGCCTAAAAAAATGGCATGTTCTTTCCTGTGAAAAAATATATACATCTAAAATCAAAAGAAAAGTAGAAAGTATAACCTACACTATTTCCTTACTATTATTATGCTAAAAATTTCACTTCTATTGAAAGCAACAAAATCTTGCCGTACTTAATAATCAAAACATATTGATTCCACACACTACTGAGAATCTAGATTTTTTTTTCCATTTCTTCGCCTTAATTCATCATTTTTTTCCCTTTGCAGTCTCAAAATTAGTATAAATTAGTGAGAATCCAACTTGCAAATGGCTTAATAAAAAATCAAAGCCCCCAAATTCTTTGCTTATTCCATCCGAACAGTGAGAAAAAACAATCTAATAAATACAGAACCAGCTCAGTTTCTTTTTATTTTATTTTTAAAAAGGAAATAAACAAAAGAAGGGAAAAATCAATCAATATATCAAGCTCCAAATCTAGAAAGATAATTGCACACCGAATCCCTAAATTGCCTAAAAATAGTAAAGTAACCAGATCCACAAAACCCTTAATTCTCGCTCGATCAGAAATAAGGAGTAAAATATTAAAGTAAAGAAATCAATAAAAAATATCTAGCTCCAAATGTAGAAATTCCGAAGTCCTAAATTACCTAAAAATAATAAATTAACCAAGTAGAGATCCACAAAACCCTCAACTCTCATTCAATAATAAATAAGAAAGTAAAATCACAGATGGAATCACTCCCTAGAAGTTAGGGTTAGGTTTTTGGGAAGTACCTCTAGAAGATCTCCAGCTTCCTTCAAGATCGAAGAAACTCCAGAGACGAAGAGGAGTGGGAGGTTTCCGCGAACCGAAATTTTTCGAAATGTGACCGTTTTAGGGTTTCGTTTCGTTCATCATATAGGAAACGGGAGAGGCGTGTTCAAATTCGTTGCGATCTGGCCGTTCATTCTGTGGGGTCCACTCCTCTTTCGTTTGGTATACAAACAAAGTTGAACGTTAGAGTACTAATTCAAAAATCTCTGGTTAATTTATGACGCCCGCGCGGGTATACGCACACGCACTATACTCGTTTTCTTTTTGCAGTTAAGTCCCTTTAGACATGATCTTATTGCATTAATGAAATTTCAGTGATTACTGATTTCCTTTGCGTGAGATAGTAGCACAACCTCACCACTTCCCACCATTCCTGGCTAGAGGCGCCAAAAAATAGAGGTGCGAGAAAACAGCGATGTATATGTGTTGGTACATTGGTCGCATGATGTAATTGTGGATACAGATACGTAGCAAAATATCTAAATCTATATCCAAAATATTTGCATGTAAGTTGATCATACAGTTGCAATTGTATTAAGATAATTATACTGATCAAGAGATCTAAAGTTTGGATTTCAAATATATTAATGAACTCTTTTGTAACATATAAACAATTTTTTTAATCCTACTAGTATGTCATATGTGCGTTGCACGTGATGCATGATACAGTTATAGATTAGCATATGCTATTTAAACAATAAGCAATAAGTTTTAGGTGGTTATCTCAAAAAAGTAAAAACTTTAGGGATCCACTCTACTATAGTATAAACATAAGTTTCCTATGAAGAAAATGACTACCAAAAAGTATCATTATGGTCAAGACTCTGCAGTTTTTACGTAGTTGTTTGCTTTATATTATAAATTTAATTAAACGTCATTTTTATTTAATCCTCAATATATATATTGTAATTTAACTTTCCTATTGACTCTTCATCACTTCAAATAATTTGATTGTCCATCCTCCTATATTTTTTCTAGAAGTTACTCTTTAGTGCTCATTCTCTCCTTTCATGGGAGTCCAAATCAAAATAGTTAGCTATTATATTAGCACACTATACATAATTTGACACAGTTCTATGGTGTAACTACAAGCATAACTATATTTTCAAGCTAGATAGTAGTTATGTAAAACAAAATTAAGAATAAATGCTTAACACAAAATACAATTTCACGGGTTGCCAAAAATCTTCACAAGATAACCAACATGATAATTAGTGCTTAACCAAAAACATAATTTCAAGGAAACCTTATAGTCATTAGAACCACACAAACTTTAATACTTATTGTGAAAAATTGAGAGGGTATAAAAGGCACTGTTTTAAAAAACCTCCGCCTAGCCCGCTTAGGCGTTCGGCTAGGCCTAGGCGGTACCTAGGCCACCTAACTAGCGCCTAGGCGGTATTTAGACTGCCTACCTAGATTTTACAAACGTTTAGAGGAGCATTTGTCTGCTTACGTGGATTGCACGCTGTAGGCCTTGGTTGTGATTTTATGTGTTGTAGCCTACACATCCTCCAAACTCCATTAACCTCCAAATATGAACACCTCCACTACCTCCTCCGACCTTCAACAAAACCTTATCGACCACTACTTAAATGAAGAAAGAAATCCGCCTAGACACCAGTCCGGCATCTAAGCTTTCTGGAACATTGACATTCACTATCAATTATTGTAATTAAAAATAAAAAAAGAAAACATCTGAGGCTCTAGCCTTGTTAATTATTATTTTGGCTATTTAGTATCTAAGTATGCATGATTTATTGAGGAACTAAAATTGCTATCTTTTTTTGAAAATTTATATGAATTTAATACATATTGTAATTTGAGTTGAGATGAACTTATAATTTGAGTTGAGAAGTATAAACATACAAAGAGCTATTGTAATTGGTAAACCAAGTAATTTAGTTGAGTATATATATATTTATTTTCAAGTATCACAATTAAAAAAAAACGCCCAGAAACCGCTTAGGCGCCTGCCTAGGCGACTAAGCGCTGGGCGCCAAGTTCGACGCCTAGAAGCGCTTAGCGTTTAATGTAACATTGATAAAAAGAAATCAAAAGTTTTAACATAGCAGTCCTCTTTCATAGTAGTATAGATATAAATAGATATAGATATCGATAGATAAATATAGATGCGGTTTTTCTCATGGACTAATTGGCATTTATATGCCCTATTGTTTCATCTACTTTTCACTTATATACCCTCACTTATTGTTGATGTTAAATGATCATACAGTCAATTAAAATGGTTGGATGGGGGTGAAGTTGATGAGGGGACACATCCTTCCCCCAAATATCTGATTCTGAGTCGAGTGGCTGAAGCCTGCACAAGTAGAAACTCGTGAGAGAACGTGGATTGGTTCCCCCGTAGTTTCTCTGATGATCAAGTCAGCATGTGAACTTGAGTGGGGAAAGTGAAGAACTCTGAGTTCTTGTGTGTGCAGTATAATTTGCAGATATATCTTAGAAGATCATATTTTTAGAAAAAGATCCCAAAGTCCTCTTTTTGTTAGTATAGTACCTCTTATTTATACTGATGGTATAAGGGTGAAATCGTCACTTTGGCCGAGTACAGCATGACGCTGAAGAAGTATGGGCCAGTGGCTGCGTTAGCACCTACTTTACATGCGTCGCTCGATAAGTGGAGGAGAGATCACCTCAGCATTAAATGAGAAGTGATCCGAGGCATGATGGTGCCGATGTGGTCCAATGATTCATGAAGACTATCAGGACTAGAAGCATGATAGCGCCTGCCAAGCATTAAATGCGATGTCAACGTTGTGTCTGCGGGAGAGGCTCGAGGCTAAAGTCGTCCTCTAGCTTCGCCGAGAAATAACGCCTTTCGAGTCGTTCTCGTGAGGTGTCAAATAATTGGTTGAGTAGGCTCGTTACGAGTCGTCTTCGATAAGAGGGTCGACTAGTACCGCCATTTGTGTCGATATAAGGAGATGTCGACTCAACGGGTCAGCTGAGTCGGAATCCTCACTGATCTCTGGTTGCCAATTTAATTAGAGCATTGCATGCAGAAGTACACATGTCTGTTACTGGTGAAGGGTCGCACTTTGGCGATTGAGAACACCATAACAGTTGGCCACTTTTGCTTGAAGTCGGCTTTAGCTGGGTCCAACTGAAATGAGAGTCGCTTTGGGTGGATGTGGGTGTGCATTAAATGGGGAAACTAAAAAGTTATGTCAGACTTGCGTGGCTGATGTCACCGCACATTCTTTTTGGCTGCCACAGCTCTGCTTTTCTAATTAGATTACGGGCTATTCAAGGTGACTGGGTTGTGCCTCGATCTCTGAGATGCCACTTCAAATTCTGATAATTAATCTGGGCCATTGGACAATGCTTGATCCGGCGGTTTAAATTCTGACGGTTAGAAAGTCAAGTGCCTATATATAGAAGCAAGGCCATGAAGGTGGCGGTTATTGCCTTTTGAATTTTTATTAAGAGAAACTCAGAATTTTTCTGCTCATCTCTTCCGGCGATCATGTCTTCATTCTACGATGGCCTCAGATCCAGTAGACTGATGTGCTCTTCTGGAAGGGATCCACTCCAAGGTGACTCCAGCACAGAAGAATACGCTCCATTAGAGGTTTGATATCCCTCAGAAGTATGATTTGATGGCCCCGACGAGGTCGAAGGCCATCTATGATCATGGGCCGGACCGGGATCCGCTTTATCTAAGGCATTTGGAGTGTAGTTTGTGGCTACCTCTGCACCCCTTCCTCCAGCAAGGTTTCACAATGCTAGGGGTATCGTAGGCTCAGATGAAGCCGAACGCCATCGTAACTCTTGTGGGGTTCGTGGTGATCTGCCACTGGTTGGCGATAAAGCCATCCTTGTGGGTCTTGGGTCGGTTGGTGACTGTGAAGGTGAACCAGAATGAACCCCACTTTCATTTTCAAATGGTGGGGAAGTTCAGGCTCATCACTGGTCTTCCTGACTTGCACAATGACTTGAAGGATAAGTTTGTCAGGGTCGCAAGGGACGACCTAGAGTTAGGCTGCTCAACTGGCCCAAAATAAGGTGGGAGACGCTCATGGAGGGTGAGTTGTTCGACGCTGAGAGGAATGTGCTTGATCAGATCAAGGCATGCATTGGCTCTCATCGATTCAACCATCTGCTTAATAACTCGGTCTTGCGGGTTGCCCATGTATCGGTAGTGCCTCTTTCTGCCAAGGACCAGGAGAGGGCTTCAGTCCTTATCTTAGGGATAGCGGAAGCATCGATGGTGCTGACTGCTCCTTTGGCTGATCCCTAGGAGGGGTCGTCTGCTAGGCCTATGAAGCATCTCCGCCAGGACTTCCCCTAGTGGAGGACGAGACAGCTCAGGAGGATCTTTCTACCGCCTTTATTCCTAGACCTAGGAGGTGGCTGCAGAGGAAAGATGAGGAACAGGAACCTCGGGCAGCGGCCAAGATGGCTAAGACCGACGTCATCAATCTGGATGAGTCGGCCCTTAAAGAGCTAGTCGAGGCTCCTCAAGAGGAGGGAGCCAAGGCTAGAGCTCCTGCTGGGGGAGGGTCGTCTGTCC